AGCATACTCTGGTAGGTTTAGATCGTAGATAAAATTGTCTAAGCCAGTATTCTTAAGATTATATGTAGCCATATAAGACAAAAATCTAACATCTAATAAAAATACGAGGCAAGACCTCACCTTAATACTGAAAAAAAAATATATATATATAAAATATAAATTTACTATTGGAGACATATCAACTTCTGATATATTCATGATATTAATATAATACAATATTTCATATATGGCTTCATGTGAGCTTGAAATTTACTGATATTTACTTATATCACTTTTGATTATTTGTAAATATAAGCAAACTTTTATTAAAATATAGATTTATTGATAGTTTTATTGATTTGCTTGATATGTTACCGATTTGATTTCTATATTCTTTAGATGTATTGAAATACTCATAGACTTTTCTATAGGGCTATCGATTATACTGATATTCTTATAATATTTATTTAAAATATAAGGACACCCGATATGTTTCTAATATTTACCTGACATGCTTTATTTTAATATAGCTTTATTCGACCTGTGATATAATAATGAAAAATCAGAATAATATACTTACAAATAAAAAATTAAAATTATATATATTGGGGTGTGATGATTTAGTGAAGTAGTGAAGTTGTCACACTCTCAAATAGTTAAGTACAAGTTCATTCCTACTAAAAATGAAAATTGAATTTCGAAAAACAGATTTAGCAACTAACGCCATGGCTAAAAAAACTCGAGATACTATAACTGTGATCATATCAATTATAGTTTACCAGAACTAGAAGATCCTGAGGCATTTATGTAATAAAGAAGTTATATAAAGGTATGCAAGTTGATTTAGTCAGTAAAAACCCAAGATAAGTTCTTTGAAATTGCAAAAAGCTACAGAGCTGATACAGCAGTAGGTGCTTGTTTGAAAAGTTCTGAATAGAGAAGTAGCACAAATCTTTGACAGTACTATATATAGATTACTATTTGAAGAACTAGTAAAAACTGAATAAAACTGAAGTATTTAACAAAGCATTCTACCAACTAGACCACCAAGAGAAAAAAGACCCAACCATGAGACCAAAGTAGGTATAGCCCTTCTGAGCTATCTGAATTGGTAGTTTGGAATAGCTGAAGATACTAGTAATAATCTGTAGATATATACTGGGGTTTGGATGAATTCTATAAGAGTAAAAATAGGTTGTGTAGTAGCAATCAGACTATAGTTAGTACTATAAAAACTGGGCACAAGTGGTGGGCCTTGGCTCATGCATATTAACTAAAGCCTAGTTTAGCCAGATTGTGAATATGAAAAGCTCTAGCAGGTTTACCTGAGAATAAAATTGTTCTAAAGTAGTTACTATATGAATCTTGAGTTTATATATATAGAAATATATATATAACCAATATAGATCATTTAGTTATAAAAGTAATCTAAGCAATAATAAAGTATAACCAAAAGGTGTCATCTTAATATCAAAAAAAATTATATATATTAAAAAATAGCATATCTTTAAAGAATAAAAATATAAATATAAGGTTAGCAATAAATATAATCAATATTCAAATCTATATTACAAAATATATAAAAAAAATAATGAATAAAAATATATAAGCAATATGAATATAACAATATTATAATAGAAAACTTGAATAATTAAATAAAAATAAATCTGAATAGCAATTTGATAATAATAACAATAATAATAGTAAAGTTATTATGCATAATAGAAAAAAAATCCTGCAGTTTTCTTATAGTCATCCTATAGTAGTTATTGCAAATATCTAATACAAAAATTTAATCAAATATTTACTTATTCAAAAACCAAGTTTTATAATTGTAAAAATTGGCACTAAGAGTAAATTTATTATTTTATTAGTTTAAAGGTTTAAACAAATATATATATGTTTAAAAAATTAAAGCTTTTTGTGATTAAATTCCTTTAAAATTTGTTAATAAAAATGGTCTGAATTATCCAAACATTGACAATTGCGAATTTTCATAATCAAAAAACTGCCTATGCTGATCTGTAAGATACTCATACTTATTACTAAGCCGACTGATAATTTAATCAATATATTGTTGCTTATTTAATTTACAAAATCTTCTTATAATTTTTAACTTTTTACAAATATTTATTTTGAGTAATTCCTCTTCTGACATGTCATCAATTATTGATTCTATCCTTTTATCACTTTTTCCAGTTATGTATTCTATGAGCTTAGCTTTTTTTCTAAATAGTTCAATTGCATTCTCAGATATGTAAGTAGCTGACTTTCCTATCCAATTGTTTAACTGATTGTCTTCTTTGATAACAAAATACTTAATTATTGCTAAAGCTAAACTACAATCAACAAACTATTTTATAATATAGCTTTCATTGTTATTTTTTATAATATAAAGTATTATCCAAAAGTTGTTACAATTTATCAGAACAACCATTGAATTTAGAGCAAAATTATTATCTTCATTGGGAAAGTTTTTTAATAGATAATCATCGATATATAACAATTAATCGTTTTGTATCGATTAGAATATAACGCTATATA